AAATGTGCATTACCCACCTAGAGCATGAAAAGAAACCTTTGGCTGAGCTTCCCAGAACGTGCTTTGTGCTGGACACAGACACCCAGAGCTCTCCAGTGGGACTCCCGTGTGCACACACCCAGGTGTAAATCTGGGGTATTTTAATAGGATCGAGAGGAGAATCTACACACTTGGCTACATTTGCTCATGACGGGATGGAAATCTTAGGAAAATTTGTGGGAAATAAGTCAGGCAAACTTGCAGACCTTAATTGGCTAGTTCTGAGGCTACCTGTGATTAATTGAGGAGGTTCCCAAAAGCAGTTTAGCAGATCATTATTCAAGGCCCTACGAAAGCATTTTCCTAATTGATCCTGCAAGAAGTAACATGAAATTAAAACCAGCCAGAATAGGGCACAGTCCAGCCAGTGGGCTCTTCCTGTCCACAGACAGTGGCATATATTTTCTGTGCCTTGAGAAATTATTTTATCTTCTTATTCAACTCTCCTACTTGATGAATTTCGTGAGCCCCACTTTCTGTAGCTGTGCTATCTCACAGCAGCTGTGATTTAAGTGAGTCCAGAGATCTGAAAGGGAGAGCATGGGCCTGACAGTGCAGTTTTTCATTTTTTCCCATCTCTATCCAAAGGTCTAATAAATGATGTTACCTCTTTACAGATCTTGCCTCAGTAATTATTGCTATTCAGTGCTGGAAATACAACAATATGAATTTAATCTCACACTTTGAGTGAGACACACAGACCCTCACACAGCCTGCATGTAGGGTACACTGAGTGGATGCTGTCACCAAGTGCCATACTCAGGAATTTGGAAAGCAGAGGATATGTCTGATTAGAACTTCATTTGGTGCACAGGACTTAACTGATATTCTGTTATGGGAGAGTTAGAAAGCAACAAACCCATTAAAGCTGTATTTTTCTAACATTTCTGTCTCATTTTTCCTCTCCAACTACCTTGAAGGGTGACACATCCTCCAAAATTACTCAGACTGATTAACTTCTGATCTTGGGGAAAAAAAAATAGACTTCCCTCAAATTTACATGTAATTTTTTTCTGGCAAAAAATGATTACAGTTCCCATCAGTCCAAGCTGTTTTATGTCTCTTGCTCCTATCATTTCCCTGTAGCACATCCCTGCGTTGCTGTTCCTTACCTGTACACGCTGCTTAGGCACATGGAATAGGGGTTCTGCTAACACCCTCTCTTTTGACTGCATGAAGAATTTCCATCCATTTTTCAGCAGCTTTACCCTACCCCTTGCTCCACTGATCCAAGCACTACAAGGCCATTTGAAAATTTCAGGTTCAGCTCTTGCTGACAATGTCAATTCTTTTATCTCTTCCAGAACGCCATAGCAACAGTTGCACTCATCTTTTGAAGACCACTTGGTTTTCATCTTCCTACTCTTTTTGTAATGTAATCAGGCACAGGGCAATAAAAGATACATGATCCTTCTTGCTTCATAAGTTTGGAATGGCTCACACGAGACAAGCTTTAGTCCACGGGTCAGAGCAGCCTTTATCTTTCTGTTACACCCAAAGCAGGGAAAAGTTTGCTGAAAGACGTTCCAGGGTGTCCCTGAGAGCCTGGCAGAGACCTGAGCAGCCCCACACCCTGGTCCCTGCAGTGCCTCTGGGCAGCTCCTTCTCCTGGGCACTTTTGGAACTGTGCAGTGACACCTTTGACTTTGGATGTTAGCAGTTCTGTTGCCTTGATTCTAAGGATTTTCTAAAGCCTTCTGAGTTTATATTCTCGTACAGAACTTTCTCACACAACTTTCTGTAAACAATCTATTGTTTTGCATCCCTCCATAGAGGTGGAGAGATTTGATGTACTGGTGGTTTGTCCAATGTCATTGGAGAGGTGGCACCTTCACCCTCCAATCCACTGGCACCTTTGGGAAAGTATAAATGCTGGAGTCAGAAAATAAACTTCCTCTTTTTCACCTTGCAATAGCAAATAGCTCACGTTGTGCTTTCACGTGTCCTGTAGTGACACAGTTCCACCCTGCAAGGCTCCAGGCTTGAATCAACAGAATTCCCTTTGCCTCCAGAGGATCACAAACCCCCCTGAGGTCTGGCTGCTGTCTGTACACAAGCACGTGCTGCTGCTGCTGCTGTGGCAGTGCAGATGAAGGCTCTGAGCTGGCTTCTCAGCACAGCCAGGGTCACCTCTGTGCCTCCAGTGGGACTCTGGTTTGTGAGCAGGGCTGCCAGGTAATCAGCTCAGCTTACCTGGAGATCAGTGCCTGGATGAAGGAACACCCTAGCTAACAGAAGTGAGAATTCCTTTATCTACCCACATCCTGCTAGTAAAGCCAATTGTGCCCTGGTGCTCCAGCCAGCTGCACTCTGTTCACACAGTGTATTTTGGCTCTGGCTAAGCGTTATCACAAGGCACAGCAACGGGATGAACACAAGAAAGCTTTGTGAAGAGAAAGGTTTAATGATTTCATTGTTTGAACCCGCAGTGCCTACTGGCAGTCTGCTGGGAATAAGGATCTTGCCTTACATGATTTATACAACACTAAACTCATCCTTTTAGACCTCCAGTTCTTACAGGAAGCCTTGCAGGCAGATGAATTTTAATGCAGAAAAGACACAAGTCTGCAAGAACCCTGTATGCAAGTGTGAAGGCATCACACCCTGACAGGAGATGCCAGAATCTCCATTCCCTCAGATATGGAATACAGAGAAGAAGCTCATGAATTCTTTCATGAAAAGAGCAAGAAGACATGTCAGCAGACATGTCTGTTGTTTGGTAATAGAAGGCATCTATCTCAAAATAAAATCTGACCACAAAAATTCTTCTTTATGCACGTTCTCCAGTCCTTAGAGGACAGATGCTCCAATAAATATTCCCTGCTCAAGCTGACAGGTAATGAGGACAATTATTTCCCCCTCAGATCTGGAATGCAGTGCAGGCTTTCTGCTGACTTAACAGACTGTGGATCAGGAAATTGCTGGGCATGACCTCATTTGATATGAGCAGCAGTTTCACTCTTCAAATGGGGAAGAATATATTGAAGACTGGGACTTCCAGGAAATAATACTCATCTAATTATCTGGTGAACACTGCTCAAAGAAAAGACTGCCAGAATTTTCCCACCAAGATGATGCACCAGAGGGGCAAAATTCACAAGAAGCATAGAGCTATGTCTAACTCTTCTTCCAAATCCTGACCAACAGAAAACAAAACCTGCCTAACAACAGCACAGCTGAAATGCTGGAGAATCCAGTGAAATTCCTTGTCTTCCTAAAACACTGAGCAGAGAGAGCAGATTTGAACCCAAACCATTTACCCACAGGAAAGTCTGCACTTCATGATTCTGAAATATATTATAGAGGCTATTACTGTTTTCTATTTTTGACTTCAACCCAAAAGTTCTTACACTACTAGGTCATCAAGCAGAAGAATGAGGATCAGCCTCAGCCTACTATAGACCAAGCAACCTGGCCTTCAGCAGAAGGACCTTGAGGCCCTCTGGAGTTGCAGGTTCAAGGCAGTCAGAAACAGGAAGGAAAACCTACTGGGGTTTGTGAGAAAAGCCAGGAAATTCAGGGTTTAAATGTGAGGGAGACAGCTGAAGAGGCAGCATCCCTTCCCTCTCAGCATCCCTTCCCTCTGACCATCCCTTCCTTCTGAGCTTCACCTTCTCTGAGCATCCCTCCCTGTGCCAGGCACATTCTTCTCTCAGGATTTTTCCACAGAGGAGCACAGAGGAAAGGAAAAGAAAACAATTTCTATTTCTGATCCTTGTTTTTCCCATGTGGAATGTGTTTGGAGAATTGTTTCCCTGGGGTGATGCTTGGTTGGATTCTGGTGAGGATTGTTTGAGCCTGGTGGCCAATCCAACCCACCTGGGGCTGGGCTCAGAGAGGGCACGAGTTGGGAGTCAGATATGGGAGTTAGAACAAGTAGGTTTGTAGTTTTAGTATCTCCTTTAAATAGTATATTAATGTATTATAGCATAGTTATAATACAGAAATCATTCAGCCTTCAGAGCTGGAGTCAGACATCAGCATTTCTTCCCACTAAGGTCACCTGCATTTACAATACCTTCCCTCTGAGCATCCTCCTGAGCACCCCTCACCCTTGGGGTACACACAGAGCTGTGTGCTGTGCAGGGTGAGGATGGTTCCTCTCCTTTGGGGTCAGTGTAGGGCACACACAGAGCTGTGTGCTGTGCAGGGTGAGGATGGCTCCTCTCCTTTGGGGTCAGTGTAGGGCACACACAGAGCTGTGTGCTGCTCAGGGTGAGGATGGCTCCTCTCCTTTGGGGTCAGTGTAGGGCACACACAGAGCTGTGTGCTGCTCAGGGTGAGGATGGCTCCTCACTTGTGGGGCAGTGTAGGACACACAGAGCTGTGGGCTGTGCAGGGTGAGGATGGTTCCTCTCCTTTGGGGTCACTGTAGGGCACACACAGAGCTGTGTGCTGTGCAGTGTAGGGCACACACACACAGAGCTGTGTGCTGCTCAGGGTGAGGATGGCTCCTCACTTGTGGGGCAGTGTAGGACACACAGAGCTGTGAGCTGTGCAGGGTGAGGATGGTTCCTCTCCTTTGGGGTCAGTGCAGGACACACACACACAGAGCTGTGCACTGTGCAGTGTAGGGCACACAGAGCTGTGTGCTGTGCAGGGTGAGGATGGTTCCTCTCCTTTGGGGTCAGTGTAGGGCACACACAGAGCTGTGGGCTGTGCAGGGTGAGGATGGTTCCTCTCCTTTGGGGTCAGTGTAGGGCACACACAGAGCTGTGTGCTGTGCAGGGTGAGGATGGCTCCTCACTTGTGGGGCAGTGTAGGACACACAGAGCTGTGTGCTGCTCAGGGTGAGGATGGCTCCTCACTTGTGGGGCAGTGTAGGGCACACACAGAGCTGTGTGCTGTGCAGGGTGAGGATGCTCCCAGAGGCAGTGCCAGGGCAGGGAGCACTCTGTGCCGAGGCTGAGGCCCTGGCACGGGCTGGGCACGGGCTGGCACGGGCCGGGGCAGGCTCTTACCATGGCCAGGGGCACGATTGCCACCAGGTCCTTCTGGCAGATGAAGATCTCGGCCAGGGCAGGGTCGGAGGAGCCGCGCCGGGGGTACTCCACCTGCCAGCTGATGGGCTGCGTGCCCGACAGGCTGCTGAAGCTGGCCATCTCAAAGTCCAGCTGCACGACCTCGTGGAACAGGCTGGTGCTCCTGCGGAGAGCAAAGAGGCAAGGCACAGCCATTACTGGGGCTGACAAAGACAATCAGGTGGAACACTGCAAGTTCAGCTGGCCACCCGTGCACGTCACACTTCCAGGAAGGCTTTTTCCAACCTACAGCTGCCCCAGAGCACGCAAACTGGAATTATTCACAATTACCCAAAGCTTCTCCTGCGGGCACTGCGGAGGGGTGGAACCCAGGTTACTGCAACACACTTACTCCATTCCAACTTCTGTTTGATTTTTCAAACACGTTTCATGCTCTGAGTTGGATCAGAACTCTGATCCATCGAAGCTAAGGCCAGAGCAGCTCGTGAAGGCTGAGAAGCCCAGAATTTCTGCAGTCAGACAGAAAACCAAGGTTTCTCGAAACTGTCCACCACCAAAGTCACAGAAATCCTCAGCAATGAAGCTCAGTGTAACCAGTGTGAGAAAGTCATTAAAACAATTAACAGGATTAAATGAAAAAATGACAATTTTAGTCTAATCCTAGAGATTAGACTAAATTTAATTTAATAGATTTAATTTCCTCTGGATATTAAAATCTCAGGCAGTTGAGACCAAACAAAAAAAAAAAGCTGTGGCAGGTAAAATATACCACAAAGTCAGTAAGCAAATTTGAAAAACAAATATGAAAAAACATGCTGGAAATGTTGCCCTCACATTAAATTTCTTCAACTACACCAGAAATAATAAGAATATATTAAATTAATTTGCTGGACTAGCTGTTGGTTTAATTTAATATAAAAAAAAAAGGTTTAGAGATTATCCATTAACTTTCCTGGAACTTTCCAAATGCCTTCCCACAGTGTGAATATCCTACTGAATATTCCTGCATTCCAACCCTACATTGCAATGATTTGAAAATGAAGGGAATGACAGGTAACTTCCTAGCTCAGTAACCCAATCCCAGCCTCATCACACCTGTGCCTGCATTGCTCACGTAACAGCTTCAATTTTTCCTCTCTTTTTTGCATCCCATACATGAAGGCCCATTTCTGAGAAAATCCATCAAGAACTGCTCATGTACGAAGCACTTACATTCTCAATTTCTAGACTTTCTTTCTCCCTCTGAACAGAAATCACTGTTTTTTGCTACTTATGACATATTCTGTGCTTTACTTTGCATGATTACTTTGAAAGCAAATGGTTCCCCTGATAATTATTATTTTGATTATGGGTTTTCATTCGGATGCCTCCCTCTGAAAAGTCTTAACACTGCCTAATCTTGAAATTTATTTTCTTTGCTGTTTTCTTGCTATGTCAAAAGAGAGACATTGGAGCACTTTTTGTGACAGTGGCACATTTCCTGCCTGCTTTTAGAGAGTGATTTTGGGCAGAAATGTGATGGATGGATGGGTTTAGCAATTCATAACCCAAGCCCAGCCTATTGGCACTTGAAGAGTTGCTATTAAATAAATCTTACAGCCTGTAAATACGAGGCAGCTGCAGTAGCTGTGCTTTACACACTCCTGGACACCTCCAAGTGAAGGCACACTGTGTGGAACCCGGTGATTTCTTTGCAAACATGAGCACATGCAAAGATACCTGAACCACCTGAGCTGCAGCGTCCATTTGGCTGCTAAAGGCACCATCATGCCTCAGATTAATGACACCTGAAATGACATTATTTGCACCATTTCTAGTTCTGATTCTTAGGAACTGACAGAAAAAAAGCTTTTCTGTGTGGCTGACCATCCCAGTGCGTTCACTTCCACCAAAAGGAGAATAACTCTTTGCACACATCAAAGCTGCTCCAAGAGTGAATGAACGCCAGGAAAGGTCTCCAGATGAAGAAGTCTGCCTGCATTCCTCCAAAGATCCTCTGAAAATGTGCATTATTATAACATGTGCTGCATCTTTCCAACAGCAGCCCCAGCTGTGCTGGCAGCTCCAGAGCTGGAGGTGAGAACCTGCAGGTGAAGAGCTCATTTCCAGCCAGCCCCTGGTCCCAAACCTCTTCTCCCCTCCCCTCCGTGGCCCAGCTCTGCTCCCAGGACTCAGGAGGGGCTGGTGACACACTCAGGGCCACGTGGAAGGAGGGCTGGCACAGGCAAGGAACAGCTCTGGGTTTAGCCAAGTCTTTTATTAATCTTTCATTAATCACTGCCCCACCGTTCTGGTCTCACTGGCAAGCACAGGATTTGGTTCTGGAAGTGTTCTTCAGCATCCTGCCACCATCCTGTACCTGAGGCGTGTTTCATGAGCTGTTCTGTGACAGAAATCATTGTTACACCTTCTACAGAACCCCTGCCAAGCTGGGATTTCCAGTTCCCCCAGCACTGGTATCACTCACTGAGCTGTTCTGTGTCCCCCTGACCCATGACAAAGACAGGCTGCTTTAGTGGTGGAGGGCCACAAAAAACAGCCCCCAAATTCATCTACAGATTTCTGATTAATGCTCATGTATTTTTTCTGTAAAACACGAGATACAAAAATGTCAAAAATCGTGCGTGGTGCAAGACAAAGCTTTGCCTGCTGCTCTTCCAGGCTGACCTGCATCAATATTCCAGTGCCTGCATCTGTGAGTAATGCACCCACCTCCTCCACAGCAAAGCAGCCCTGATGCAATGTCACAGCATCATCCGTTTCCTCCTTCCCTCTTCACACACAAGAAACAGAGAGAAGATCAACAGCTGGGAAAGCATCCACTTGAAAGAAAATATGCCTTCAGAGATGTGTAATGGCTGAGGAGAAAACGCTTCTGGTGAAGCACATTTAATGCTCAGAGCTTGCTCACTGACTGAAACAGCAGCTCCTTAATATCCAACATTTAGAAGTGCTCAGCAGCCGGAACAGCAAGTAATTATAAAACTTTTCTAAAGTACACAGCACGCAGTGATTGCAAATGAAGCTTCCTCAAGGAAGAGCTTCCAAGGAATTGCTCCAGGGTGGGTATACGAGTCTAATTTGATTGGATTGAGAGCTCCCCTGGGCCAGCTCACTCCTTGGATTTATTTTAATTTATAAAAATGCTAATCATTCAGGGCCAGACTGGAGCACGTGCTAGCACAGGGGAGTGAGGACTCCTGATGTGCTGAGCAGCCCCTGGGAGGGTGGGTGTGAGCAGGAGACATCAGCAGCAGCTGAACCTCCCTGCTGGAGCAGGTGGCCAGTGGTGAGGAGATGCTGGTGGTCCATGGTGAGGAGATGCTGGTGGTCCCTGGTGAGGAGATGCTGGTGGTCCCTGGTGAGGAGATGCTGGTGGCCCATGGTGAGGAGATGCTGGTGGTCCCTGGTGAGGAGATGCTGGTGGCCTGTGGTGAGGAGATGCTGGTGGGCCATGGTGAGGAGATGCTGGTGCTTTCAGCAGCTGAGCCTGCAGCTCAGGGATGGGGAATTCACTCCTGGCAGAGGCTGGCAGCAAAGTGCTGCCCCAGGAGAACAGGCAGCAGAGCCCCTAAATGCCTCTGAGCAGCACAGTTTTGGGGAAAGAAGGTGGAATGGAAATGTTCTGTTAATGGGAAGATAATAAAAGATGCATAAAAGGGAAAACAGAAGTGGCATCAGGAGAAAATGCCATGAAAGTCGGCAGCTGCTGCCAGCTGTGTGGGCAGCACACACCCTTGAGGATCAGCCAGTGTTAACTGCACTTTTGTTTTTAGAAGATTTTGAGTATGATATTAAGCATTCCTTTGTAAGCACTTATTGATCATTCAAACCTTCAGTGAAAAAAGAAATATTTCCTCTTGGAAGATTTTTCTTCTATTCACATGCAGGACTGGCTCTGAGGCCCCAGGACTAGTGACCACTGAGGGCAGGACTAGTGACCACTGAGGCCCCAGGATGAGTGACCACTGAGGGCCCAGGATGAGTGACCACTGAGGGCAGGATGAGTGACCACTGAGGGCAGGATGAGTGACCACTGAGGGCAGGATTAGTGACCACTGAGGCCCCAGGACTAGTGATCACTGAGGGCAGGACTAGTGACCACTGAGGCCCCAGGATGAGAGATCACTGAGGGCAGGATGAGTGACCACTGAGGGCAGGATGAGTGACCACTGAGGGCAGGATGAGTGACCACTGAGGCCCCAGGATGAGTGACCACTGAGGCCCCAGGATGAGTGACCACTGAGGGCAGGATGAGTGACCAGGCTCGTGCTGCAAGGGTGTCCCAGGAGCAGGGAGGCAGAGGATCACCAGGAGCACCCAGAGAGCTCAGCTGCTGCCAGAGCCATCAGCAGACAGAAATCTTTGCTGGATGCCCATCTGCAGGTGTGGCCCAGCAGTCTCTGATGGGAGATTTCACAGTGCTGGGTTATTGCTCCAAGTAATAGAGCAGTTTCCACTCTTAAATGAGTGAATCTTAGGACTGCTACAGGCTAAATCAATAATTTCGATTTATTACAGTGACTCTCAAAAGAGAAATTTTAAAAAGCCTAGATTAAAAACATTTTTTAGCCATCCTTTATTCCAACAGATTTTTACTGAAAGTGCCTAGGGATCCGAGAGTACTTCGACCTGCTGGAAATTCAGCAACTCCTTTCTTCTCTAATGCTCTCCAGTTTGACAGTGACATCTTAATGCAAGATCAGCACTCACCAAATGACACAAAAAATAGAGAAGAGTACAAACTCCATCCTCCCCTTACTCTTCACTAAAATGAATGTATTGAAGCATGTTATTACCATGTGCAGAGGCAAAACCATCGGGAGCTGCTGGTCAAACTGGACCCCAGAGCAATCTGTGCTGCAGCTGAGGCACAGCAGGACCTGTGCCCACCTTGGGGAAGGGTTCAGGGCTTGTGCTGCTGCCATTCTCCATCTCCTGTTCTCCTGCCCCTTCTCCTCACCACGGCAGATAATGGGGATATCTGTAAGGAACACGCCTGGGGACCAGTGAGTCACAGCAATTTCAGGAAAATTAACGGCACAGAATTAGAACTTGATCTGGGGGAGTGTGACTGCAGATGACTTTAAAGATCATGGAATGGTTTGGGGAGAAAGGATCTTAAAAATCACTGAGTTCCACCAGACCTGGCTGCTCCACCACTGCCCACCTGAAATACTTCTTCACACGGAGTA